CGGTCTCGATCACGACCTTCTACTATGGTCAACCGTGACTATGCAATAGATGATAAGGATAATTTTGAGATGGAAATCCATAACGATATTGATGATGATTATGAGGATGAAGAAGCGGATGAGGAGGAAGAGGCGGATGAGGAGGAAGAAAACTCTCACTACCGATCATCATATTCAAGAAGACGTTTATCTGATGATAACCTTGCTGCTACTAATACTGATAGTAATACTCAAACGATTACTCTTCAAAATTGGGATCCACAAACACCATACATGAACAAAATTAAATCAAGTACTAGTTTACAAACAGCTTATCAAATTTATTTAAATGAACGTCAATCATATTCTAAATCACCATCATTTTATTTTGATGTAGCATCATATTTTTTCTTACAAGCTCGTTCTTCAAATTCAAAACAATCATCAATTGATGCATTTAATCAATATTATGCACAGTCAAATTATAATATTTCAAATGAATATCAATATTTTGGTTTACGTATTCTTACAAATGTTTTAGAATTAGAATTAGAATCAGTACAATTATTGCGAACTGTTGCTTATAAACTTGTTGAACTTGGTCTTTACAATTTAGCTGTGAATATTTTTCGACATATTGTAAATTTGAGATCGGACGAGCCACAATCATTTCGAGATCTAGCATTATTATTATTACAAGAATCTAATTCTGAAACGAAGAACCTTATAGAAATATCAGATTTATTTAAGAAAGTTATATTTGGTGAATGGGATAATCGTTATTCAGAAATTGAAGTCACCACATTGCATGAACTGAATTACTTCGTATTTCAATTTCATCAACAACAACAAATATTGAATTCAATTGATAATCGTCTTATTCGTCATTTACCTGTTGACTTAAGAATTGTTATGGTTTGGGATACAAATGATACAGATGTCGATTTACATGTTATTGAACCAACAGGTGAAGAATGTTATTATTCTCATAAAAACACAGCTATTGGTGGTATGATAAGTCGTGATTTTACAACGGGCTATGGACCAGAAGAATATCTTGTTCGAAAGGCAGTCAAAGGTATATATACAGTTCGAGCAAAATATTTTGCTAATCATCAACAAAGTCTAACTGGTGCAACGACAATCATGGTACATATTTATAAATATTATGGACAATCAAATCAACAAAAAGAAATTGTTACATTACGATTGAATAGTAATCAGGAAATGATCGATGTATGCAAAGTAAACTTCAATGATGATATTCAACAAATTTCAAACAATACAGTAACGAATAATCAAAATTTGAATACGAATATTCATTCACGTATTACTTGTGATGGATGTGATATGTCACCAATAATAGGAGATCGTTACAAATGTTTATTTTGTTCCAATATTGATTTTTGTCAATCATGTAAGTCTGTTAGTAGAACAAATTATGATTCGAATCATCAATATAATCATCCATTATTATGTATTAAAGATTCCAATGAATATCCAAAGTCAGTTTATTTAAATAATCGTACTAAAATCAATCATAAGAATAAACAATGTAATTCATGTTTTATGAAACCGATTATTGGTATTCGTTACAAATGTGCTTGTAGAATTAATTTATGTGAAAAATGTGAATTCATGGGTTTACATGATACAGATCATCGTCGCACAAAAATAGTTAAATCGGAATGATTCGATTCAAATTTTGACTTGTGAACTTCTATTAAATAATAAATATTTAC